TATATATATATATATATATATATATATATATATATATATGTATATATATATATATATATATATATATGTATATATATATATATATATATATATATATATATATATATATATATATATATATATATATATATATATATATATATATATATATATATATATATATATATATATATATATATATATATATATATATATATATGTAATATGAATAAATAAATAAATGTTCTTATGTAAAACATGCATCTCATAAGTAAATCAAACAAAACCAAACAAAATAAAATAAAAATAATAAATTAAAAACAATTAAATAAATATTCTTATGTAAAACATGCACATAAATAATAAATAATAATAATAATATAAAATAATAAATAAAACTTCACATGATACATTTAATAATAATAATAATAATATAAAATAATAAATAAAACTTCACATGATAAATTTAATAATAATAATAATAATAATATAAAATAATAATAAATAAAACATGCGGTATAGCTGAATTGGGTAGGCTAAAATTGTGCGTAAAGTATGTGTGTGAACGAGAATGTATGGGTGTTTCCCAGTAATGGGTTGCAGCTGGAAGGGCATCCACTACATAAAACTTATGCTGGATAAATATAATATTAATGGCATATATATATATATATATATATATATATATATATATATATATATATATATATATATATATATATATATATATATACACACACAAAGAGTTCTGCAAATTTTGACATGCCTAATAATGTTTATATCTTGTCAGGATTTAAATATTGCATAAAGATTTATATTATAGAATTATTACATTATTAATTATATTAATTATATTACAGAAGTATATTTTTTCATCAAACTAACCATTGACTGATGTCTTTAACCTTCTTGTTTTTAAAACACTGACGCAATCTTTCATTGAGCTCCTTACTCGCTGATTCCTCAAACGTGAATCACAACAGCACAGATTCCACAAGTATAGTGCCTTTCCAAGAGGTGTAAAAGCAGGCCGGTTAGTGAAGAGCGGAGAGTCTGAGATGTTTGTTATTGTACCATTAAAACCTTAAAGTTCTCTTTTCTCAGCCGGTCGTGCCAAGCACAAACAGCCACTGAGCCCCAGCAGAGAGCACTTGGCAGCGTGCTGAGTGGTAACTCAATATTATTAGCTGCTAATAGAGAAGAGGAGGGGGCCGCTGAATGAGTCCTGACGTGATGTTTATGGAGCGGGCAGGACGCTGTGGCTGTCAGGTGAAGCTGTGAAGGCAGGTTTGACTCATCATAACTGGGATATCTGTAGAGCAGACGACTGGATGGGGTGCATGGAGATGCTGATGTGTGCTAAATCACCTGGACATGAAGAGGAATCCTATCTACACTGTTAACAAATTCCTGTATGATCTAAAGTAACTTATGCCGAGTTCAGACTGCTTGACTTTAACCCTGATTTTGACTCGTCCACAGGTTTTGATAAATCGCCGGCAAATGCCTGAAATTACAGGCAAATCGGTGCTCGTGCACGTGAGTAACAATCACAAAGTATGAACTATCAAAGACACAATCTGAGAGAATCGCAGATGAGTCGCTGATGCCTGTGTGATATTTGCCGTGCTAAATATCTAGAGCTGTCGCTGACTCAAATCATGCTGTGTGAAACGAGTTTTGACTAAAAATAACATTGGCGATCACCAACAGCCAATGAGAGAGCAGCATTCACTTGTGTGTACCTGCAGGCCAGCGGAAGGTTGAGTGAAAAGTTAAAAAACGATCATTTACAGTTTATTTGGACCCAAGAAATGGAGGAAAAACTATTGAAGGTTTGACAGGAGCCCCCGTGTCTGTTTGACGTTTCATACAGAAAGTTAAAAATGAAAGTTGAGGAGAAATGCCTAATTCCCTTCAAATGCAGGTGAGCAAACATGTACATTTTCTACTATTTTGCTTGACCCATTTGAAGATTATTTTGCTTGTTTTAAGGAAAAACTTACTTAATTTTGCCATATCATTTCTTAAAATAAGACAATGTTTTGCTCGTCTAGAAAATGCTTCTTGATTAAAGAATAGGGATGTAACGGTATTGTAAATACCGTCATACCGCAATAGTAATTTTTTTCAATATTACCGTAGTCGCATGACTCGATAAAACTATATTTCTGAGAAAATTTGCTCAGGCGAATGAAGCGAACGGGAAGTAGCGGAAACTACAATTCCCATCAGCCTAGGCGTGGCCATCATCCTTTGCGGTCTGTTGTCGCTACAGATCCAGTAATGCGGAAATGGAGTGTGTTGCTAGTAGCGAGGAAGAAAAAGAGCTGGAAATGATCGAACCTAAAGCGGGATGTGTGGAAGCATTTCAGTTTCTCTCTGAAAAGATACGAGAAAGGAGAAAATGTGACAGACAAAAAAAAAACAGTATGCAGGCACTGCCAGACTGTGGTGAAATATAAGTCGGGGAATACGACTAAAAACAGTCATGGGGACTGCAGAAACACAGCACACTGTTCAGATTCATGCAGACATTGACTTGTACCGCAAAGAGACCTCTATTTCACTCATGGCTTGTCCTCTCAAGTGGGGGAAAGACAATGCACAACGTTACCCACTGCTGTCAACCTAGGCCAAATCATATCTCTGTCCCAGAAACCTCAGTCCCAAATGAGAGGGGTTTTTTTTCTGTTGCAGGGGACATGCCCAGAGATCCCAGCTTTTACCAGATTATAGTTATATAATAATTTTCCTTAAAACCCATCTCTATCTAAGTGAGTGAGTGATTAAATGTTGAATGTGATGAGTTTTCAACAATACTAAATTGAAACTTTATTTTTTTTACATGGTTTAATAAGGCTTTGTTATTAAAATTTAAAAATTGAAGTTCCTGTTTCAAAGCTTACAGATAGATGGCTAATTTGTATGTCACTGACTCTTTTGGCACTTTTTGGGAGTATTTTCATTAGTTTTGTATTTCCTGTAAGTGATTCAATAAATACCGTACCGTGTCATTCATACTGAGGTATTACCGTACCGTGAAATTCTGATACCGTTACATCCCTATTAAAGAATATTTAAAAATTTGCACTAGAAACAATCCTGCTAGGTTGAAAACCCAGCTAACATTAGTACCACAATAAATAGCATAAATTAATAAAATAGCAACAAATGATAAATAAAACAAAATAAATGCCATACAAAACAAACGTGTGATTAGTTGTTTTAAACATCAGTCAGACAGTCTCTTCTAAGCTTGCAGTTTTGACAAATAAGTTGCAAAGTGCTTGAAGTTTCTGCCACCCGACTCCACTTCACAACTTTTCAATCCAGATGGACGGGCAACCATTACTTCTTCCAAAATGGTGAAAAGCCTTGGAGTAACAATTGATGACCATCTAAACTTCTCTGACCACATCTCTAAAACTGCTCGATCGTGCAGATTCGCACTCTATAACATCAGAAAAGTCCGACCCTTCCTATCTGAACATGCAGCTCAACTCCTTGTTCAAGCTCTTGTTCTTTCCAGACTGGACTATTGCAACTCTCTACTAGCCGGGCTCCCAGCTAGCTCTATCAAACCTCTTCAGATGCTTTAGAACGCAGCTGCACGAGTGGTCTATAATGAACCTAAAAGAGCACATGTCACTCCGCTGCTCATCCGTTTGCACTGGCTGCCAGTTGCTGCTCGCATCAAATTCAAAGCTCTGATGTTTGCTTACAAAGCGATTTCTGGCTGCGCCCCTTCTTATCTGCTCTCACTTCTGCAGATTTATGTGCCCTCCAGAAACTTGCGTTCTGTGAATGAACGTCGCCTCGTGGTTCCATCCCAAAGAGGCAAGATAACGCTTTCCCGAATGCTCGTGCTCAATCTGCCCAGTTGGTGGAATGAACTCCCTAACTGCATCAGAACGGCAGAGACACTCGCTGTCTTCAAAAAGCGACTAAAAACTCAACTATTTAGTCTCCACTTTCCTTACTAATACACAACTCCCTCTCTGACTCCTCCACTAACTACAAAAAATAAATAAATAAATAAATAAAAATAAAAATTTACTAATACTTTCCTTCTTAGACTTTACACACCTGAAACTTGCCTACAGCACTTATTCACTGTTGCTCTTATAGTTGTGTACATTGCTTCCTTGTCCTCATTTGTAAGTCGCTTTGGATAAAAGCGTCGGCTAAATGACTAAATGTAAATGTAAAGTGAATCACACTTCATGCCGTACATCAAAACTGATTCGAAAATCTTTTTACAAGCATATAAAGTAAATGAAGTTAGAAAACCATCATTTCTGTCAGATTTGCTGTTCTTGTTTTGGCAGGTCAGATTAATGATTCACCAGTGAGATTCGACCTGAAAAATCTCCCATAAAAAGCTGACAGTGGTGATGTTTTTCAGTGTGACCCCGAAGCGCCGGATGCCATCAGCCTCCAGGTGGATCCCCTCCGCTGAGCTCAGTCCATCTGGCTGTGCATGTAATTGGTTCAGGTTTATTGCGATTGGACTTTATTAAGACAAGCGTGGAATGTGCAGCCCTGATGTCAGTAACTAGAGAATGAGAGGGAGGGAGAGAGAGAGAATAATCAAGGACTGAATGCCCCGTAGATGAACTTCATAAAGGTCTTCTCAGTCCGTCTAATCTTAGGAAATAAAAGCATGTAAAATGAATGTGAAGTGAGTGTGTTTGATCTGAAGGAGGACTTGAGAACACTTGTAAAAGTAACGAGTAGTCCTTTTCAAGTTTACTTAAGAATTAAAAAAACCTACAAATACTGCAGAAGACCTAATAGTAGTTTGGTGAAGGAAAATGATGGTTTGGGGTTACATTCAGTATGGGGGCATGTGAGAGATCTGCAGAGTGGTATCAAGACGTTTGTGCTGCCCAATAAATTACAAACCACAGGAGAGGGCAAATTCTTCAGCAGGATAGCGCTCCTTCTCATACTTCAGCCTCCCCATCAAAGTTCCTGAAAGCAAAGAAGGTCAAAATGCTCCAGGATTGGCCAGCCCAGTCACCAGACATGAACATTATTGAGAATGTCTGGGTAAAAATGGAGGAGGCATTGAAGATGAATCCAAATAATCTTGATGAACTCTGGGAGTCCTGCAAGAACACTTTCTTTGCCATTCTAGATGACTTTATTAATAAGTGATTTGAGTCATTGCAGAGATGTATAGATGCAGTCCACCAAGCTCATGATGGAGTCAGACACAAAATTCATTCTGTTTCCACTGCAGCAGGACTTTATACTGGACATTACTTCAGTTTAGTGACAAGACTTTTGTCCGAGCAAAGTCAGACCTTACTGTTTTGATTAAATAATTAAAAATCAAGGCATGATCATATTTTATTTTAGTAAAATAAGCGTAATCTAATGGCCTTTGCCTTTCATATAAGTGTCAGACCCCAGTGTTTATGTCATGTGACCTTCCCCATGTGCTCCTTTGTTCTGTTTTTCCCGCCACCAGTCTTGTGAGTTTCACCTGTGTTCCACTTTTGTGTGTTATCAGTTTCATCAAGTCATGTGTATTTATAGTCCTGTGTGTTGTTTAGTCCTTTGTACGGTATTCTTGGTTATGCATTGTCTACACTCCATGTCGTTACTGAGTCTCCTGTATTTCCAGTGTATTTTACTAGAGTGTTTGTAAATAAATCTACATGTCAAAATTATTAGCCCCCCTGAATTATTAGCTCCCTATTTATTTTTTTTCCCCCAATTTCTGTTTAATGGATAGAAGATTTTTCAGCACATTTCTAAACATAATAGTTTTAATAACTCTTTTCTAATAACTGATTAATTTTAGATTTGCCATGATGACAGTACATAATATTTTACTAGATGTTTTTAAGACACTTCTATACAGCTTAAAGTGACAATTAAAGGCTTAACTAGGTTAATTATGTTAACTAGGCAGGTTAGGGTAATTAGGAAAGTTATTGTATAACGATGGTTTGTTCTGTAGACTACCGAAAAAAAATTTAGCTTAGAGGGGCTAATAATTTTGACCATAAAATGCTGGTAAAAAATTTAAAACTGCTTTTATTCTAGCCGAAATAAAACAAATAAGAAAAAATATATATTATCAGGCTTACTGTGAAAATGTCCTCGCCCTGTTAAACATAATTTGGTAAATATTTAAAAAAGAAAAAAAATTCAAAGGGGGGCTAATAATTCTGACTTCAAACGTATATATATATATATAATTTTACTGATATATTTAATATACAATTATTTATTAATGTATTTAATATACAATTATTCATTGAAATATTTAAAATACTATTATTTATTAATATATTTAATATACAATTATTATATAAATGTATTGATATATTTAATATTCAATTATTATATTAATTTATTGATATATTTAATATACAGTTATTTATATTTTTTATTTATATATGTAATATAATAAAGTGTTGAGTTATTTGCAAAAAAAACAAAACTTTAATTTCTTCAATTCATCTATAGCGCATGTGTTTGGACTGTGGGAGAAACCAGAGCATTCGGAAGAAACCCATGCCAACACAGGTAGAACATGCAAACATCCACACAGAAATGCCAACTGACCCAGCTGGAACTCGAACCAGTGACCCAGTGACAGAGGCGATAGTGCTAACCACTGAGAAATATGGACAAATATGTGAATGAACACTTTCAAGCTTTCCATATACAGTGACCATGAACATCTTAACATTTTTGATAATTAATGATAATCAATCCTAAAATGCTGCATTAGTAACTTAAATGCCGTGGAATCAGTTGCAGACATTTCTGAAATGTGGACTAAAAAGAGCAATACTTTATTTCGAAAAGCATTCCTGCTACGATTATCAACTGGGGTGCCCACTGAACTCATTACAGGGAACTCCAGCTATTTATATGCAATACCTGTTATTAACATGAACTACAGCTACCATGATGCTTTGCGCCAATCAACACCCACTACAGCTGTGAACAATCTGGACAGATACATGCGCACACACAAAGTTGAGTATCATTCTCACTGATTACTCTGACTAGAATAACCCTTAAGTCACTCTCTCAGTGCATAGTCTTGTAAAGATGTGTAAAGTGTGCACTCTTGGTCCTCCTACCCTGTTCGTGTGTCACCTATTTTCTGGCTTACTCTCTGTAGATGACAATGATACTGTTGTTTGTTCCAGCTTTCACCTTTGCCTGCCTGACCATTCTCTTTGAATAAAGCTGCACTTGGAACTTTACATCGCTGCCAGCACATTCATTGCCATTACAGTTCCCTTTTTTATTTAGTTTGAAAACTTTTATTTTGAAAACTGAAACACTCCAGTAATAAAACGTTTTTTTACTAAATCCCAGTATTGAAGTAAAGATAGTTACTGTCCACCACTGGGACGGTGTCTGTGTGTTTAGAGACGGTGGTCTGTTTTGACTGAATGAGTCAAGTTATGAAGTGACAGACGCTTCAGAAACACTTCACTTAATCAACACCTCACACAATGATCAATAAAACAAACTGCAAAGCACACAACGCTGTGGTTTTCTAAACTCTGTGTGTAATGAGCGCTGCGAGTGATGGAAGACCTGTGAAACTGTGCAGAAGCGTCTTGAGCTCTGGAGGAAAATGTCTGACGAGGCAGAACTCATCAGCTCAAACAGAACATGCAATGGTACATTTTAGCTCACTTTTACCATGAGAAAAAATGCCAGAAAACATAGAAAAAATTTGAGCTAAACAAAAATAGTGACTCATTTGGGCCGCATTGAACAAAAAAAAAAGATAAATATCATAATATAGAATGAAAATGTGTTTTTTTAATTGTTTTAAACAATATAAATACATCCTTAAAAATAAAACAAAACCCTTATTTTAAAGTATTATTGTAAAGTTTTAACAAAATATTTTATTGTATTTTAATAATAAAAGCATGTAGCCATAGTGCGTAAAAAATGATCCCTAATATTTACATGAGAGGATAAAATACTAGTAATCTTAATAAGAAAAGCAGAGTACTTCTGTCACAGCGGGTCTATGTACTCTGTATATATATTTATATATACACACACACACACACACACAGACACATATATATATAGTTTTTTTTATATATATTTATTAAATTATTTATTTTATTTATTTTTTTCTTTATTATAAAACATGTTATTGATTAAACTAGTTAGTAAAGATTTAATGTTTTTGCATTCAAAAAAACAAAAAAAAACTTGAAAAAAAAAGGTGGTTATCTCTTTGTCCAATTGAAAAGAAAACAAAATCCATATATGCAAAGAGAACAAATCAAATTAGTTTACAAATTAAGTTATATGTATTAAAATGAAATGACGCAGGTAAAAAGTATTGAACACATGAAGAAAGGAAGATGTAGAAAGGCAGCAAAAGCCCAGACAGCAGCAGAAATCTTTTAGTAATTCGTCGGCAACTCTCTGCTCTTCCTCGCTGTAAATAAATATTATCTTCTTCAGTCCAACATCTACATTAGCAGGATGATGAAGATGAAACCAGAATGGACATTTAAGCAAGACAATGATCCAAAACACAGCCAAGCAAACTCTTAAATGCTTTCAGAGAAAGAAAATCAAAGTGTAGAATGGCCCAGCCTGACTTGAATCCAATATAAAATACAAAATAAAGATCAGATTTGATGGACGAGACCCACAGAACCATCAAGAGTTTTACACTCTGATGTAGTCTTTGGAAAAACTCACACCTGAGCAATTCATGTGACTTCATTCTCCTTATGAGAGGCGTCTTTAAGCTTTTAAAAGGGCACATAGTTTACCCCTTTTTTATGATTTAATATTAATGTTATGGTTCTTCTGAGTGTGCCAGTTTAGGTTCAGTTCAACACACAGTTCAGATGTTTTTAATATAATGTGTTAAAAAGTGTCATGTTGGGGGCGTTTAGACAGTTAGCTGTTTTAGGGGTGTGTTGCTTCACTGTTTCGGCTTCCTGCCCTACGTAACAAAGGGGCGGAGCCAAGAGCTCACCCACTCTGTTTGGCAACAGACAGGCTGACAGACAGACAGACAGAGAAGCTAAGATAAGCTAGGATGAGCATTCAAAAGCAGAGAGTACAAAATCATTTGTGTCTTTGTATAGTCTCGGTGTACAAGTGCCGAGCTTGTACACAGAGACTGATAACCACACACACTGAATCAACTTTGACTAAAGCACCGAATGCGCCGCGACATGGCACACCGGACACTCAGTGACGTGGCAGAAACATGAAATGTCCCGAATCGTCACGCCACGCATTCCAGAACTCCAAACACAAGCCTCCACCAGGGCAAACACAACGGCGCCGCGGCCGCCGCATGCACCCCGACAGAAACCCACGCCCAGAACTCCGAAATGCCCGGCGCCACGCAAAAGCATTAATTCCGATTAGAGTGATAATGTGGAGAATATTGATCTTGTGTTGAGCCCAATGAGCTTTTCATCAAAAAATAGAGCACAGGTGTTCCTTTAGTGATATCGCTTTGACTCACACGCTGAAAATGGTAGACGTGAAACAAGAAACTGAGGATATGATCATGACGCGAGG